GGGGGGAGAAACAGCCCTCCAATAGTGTAATACTTGAAATAGTTCATTCATGTGCTCTGAAGTAAACTTCTAGATGTCTTAAACATGATATGAAATAAACACAACTATACTAACTACAGTATTAATGTTTAAAGTTTAATATCAGTAAATGACATAGGATAAGCCTTAGGCACATGATTTGTGTGAGGTGTCAGGTTAATACAATAATAGGAAAATAGGGTGCCATGATTAAAGAAGATGAGAAAAGAGTTATTAATAGGGAAAATGTATATATGAAACTCTCTTATCATGTATTAGTTGAAAATTAAACCAATTATCCAAAGCAGTGGAACTGTTTAAAAAGCAAAGCAAACTTAGAGTAAATAATGGGGTACTTGGGTTTTCATAACCTAAGATAGTATTCAGGTATGGAAAACTTGACTCCTAACTTACCATAAGGTAATCCGTGGTTTGACCTTAGTGTGATTTGACGCTTGTGTGTCTCCATCATAAAATAACTTCTAACCAATCCAGAAATACCAAGAAATAAGAGGATAGACGTAGTTCTTGAAACACTTATGGGAACAGTGGACGAAAATCCATCTCTCAAAGTAGAAAAATATAATAAAACCTTTTCTTCAGGAAAATCATAGAATCTCAGAGTTGGAAGAGACCATAGCGGTTACTTGGTGGACTTAGTTGATGTGTGAGTCCCCCTGGAAAGCAGTAGTAATTCAGCTTTTGCTTATTTCTGTTGAGTTGGGGACTCATTGTCTTCTAAGGCCCAAGCTCTCCAGAACTATAACTTTCCCCAGGGGTATTTAAATTTACTCTTTTACTAAAAAATACTGTGAGGGAAAAAAATATCTATAACTCTGCACATAATATTGACATTTGAAAATTCCACATTTAGTGGTAAGTAGATAAGAGTAGTGTTTGGTGACTTACATCTCAAATATGGACAGAACTTCACAAACAGCCTATCACTTGATTTCATAAAAATTATTTGCTTGACAGAGAATAAACTAGTGTGAGTAGGCTTGGCAGAGCATATCAAAGGAAAAAAACAATTGCACAACCCTTGTGTTTACTATGTTATATTTTCACTACAGCTGGCCTTGTTCTTCTCCACCATGCCACCCCTCCAGATTTTCTTTCTGCCCTTGCAGAAAATTAAAATAGTATTTTGTTGTATAGTTAGGATGAATTTATTACCCAGGATGCTATTCACTCATCTCCCTTTCAAAATATGTGTGATAGAAAGCATAGATTAAAGTGATTAAAATGTGTTATTTTCCCAACATCTGAGACCCAAGGTAGACGACTCTCCTACTGCCTTCGTCCACTAGGTGCCAGCACAGCTCTGCTCCCTGCTTTGTTCTTTTCTGGAGAAGGTTATTTCATCTAGACCTGTAGCCTCCTTAAGAACGTGTACTTTGCATGTATGGATTTTTTGTTGTTTTTGGTAATTTTGATAAAGCCACCAAAATATTCTCATTATACTGGATTTCTAATCACTAAGAATTTCAGTTTCAAAAACAATTCAAGGTACAATGAATTTAAGTCATTACAAGCAGCCAAATCTTTTTTGTTTTTTAGTCCAAACTCTTATTTTTAAGCTTAGCATTAATTTTGAAAGAATGGATAATAGTCAAAATAACCAGGAAATAAACAGCCATGTAATACAAATAAGTTTAAAGTGGAGGTGATATATTTCCATAGTAATAAAAACAAAATTTTAGATTTTACCAGTTTTGTTATTCCAGGGTTGTGTTTTTTAAATTGATAGTTTTTCCTCCTTCAGTATTATGTCATTTGATGTAGCATTTGTTTTGCTCCATCTGTTTACATATTTAAAACTTATTTGAGAAATTCTCATACATTTCAAAATCAAGATAATATTACCGTATTTCAGTCTTTCACTTGTTACAGTATTCTGTATATGTAACAACCTTTAAAATTATGTATTTAAGCACTTTATTGTACACTTACTCTCAAAGTTTTTCATTATTTTAAAATTTATTTCTTGAAATAAAGTCTTGAAATTTTCAATAATTAGCAGTTAATACTTGGACTATTAATGAAAGAATAGCATGTATAATTATTCTGTGAACAAAAGTATAGTTATAATTCATTTTGTATATTCTAAGCTACATAAGAAAACACAATAAAAATATTCCATGCCATAATTAAATATGAACTAGAGGTCTTCTACCTATAAAATACTACCAAAATGCCAATTAATGTGGTAAAAGCATTTATTTAAATGGTGGAAACTGTATAATTCAAGATTTATATAAAATTATATCAGTATAAT